TATTTTAATTCTTTTTTGTTTATTTATACACCCACTTCCCAGGTAGCACCTCCCATAGCCTCCCTCCCCCCACTAGAACCCTTATACTCTGATATCCCTACTAGTCTGCTGTGTAGTCGGCACCCCCAGCCATTCCCCACTACTTGTCCATCTGGTGAATCTAGTCAGCCTACCCAGAGGGCTTCCCTTCAGGAAGGTCAGCTGTTCCTCATCTAGCAGCAATCAGTTGTCAATATTCCTTTAGATAATATTGGAGTCTGTTGTTCATTTTTCCAGTTCTATGCTGGTTTACTATCTGGGAGTCCGTTTGGCCACCCTGGCCAACAACTCAAAAGAAGGTATCTCCTATCTGGCATTGTTGCTTGTTATATAGCCTTTAGCTATACATATGGACTCTTAAAAATTATATTGACCCCTTTAATCTTTGGTTATACTTTCCTTTTGGGTGTTTAAGGCCATACAGTTGGCCCAGATAAACCAATTTATTTTTACTCTTAAGGTCGTTTGAGGATCTGTTCCTCAGGGGTCTCATGGGCTTGGGAGGAGCCCCTGGCTCCTTTCTTTTACCAGTTCCACCTATGTGAAGATAAGTCAAAGGTCCTGCTTAACCATGACTTCCTTTGCTTGGCAGCATGGAGGAAATGATTCCTCTGTGTTGACCCTCCTCTTTGTAGACTGGACACTGCTTCAAGTCCATCTCATGGGGTCTCCTTGGCCTCCTTGATCAAGAGGACAGGTGAACCACCACAATTACAGGACATTTTGAGAGATGCTCATAGTCCCCTGGAACTAGTAATCCCAGGAGGGCAAGGAGCAAAAACTGTCCTTTACGTCCCTCTGACCAAATTAGTATAGGCCTCAAAGTATGTCTGTTAAACATCCAAGAAGGTTAGTTCCACCAGTCTGGTACTTAATTACTGTGTGTCATGTAGATAAATTTGGGTAAAGACCAATTGTTCTCAGATAAACCTTACCTACACATGTAGTTCTTGATATGGTATGTTTAATTTGTCAGTAGGTTGTTGGATAATATGGTTGCCTCTGGTTTGTAAAATTATCTAGGCATTATTTATCTCTTGCATTGTCTCAACCCTCCATCATGGTTTCCCCAATTACAGTGCCCACATTTTCCCCCTTTCTCCCTTAATAATACCCATCTCCTATGGTCCTACCTCTCTA